CCCGGGAGGCGGAGCTTGCAGTGAGCCGAGATTGCACCACTGCACTCCAGCCTGGGTGACAGAGCAAGACTCTGTCTGAAAAGAAAAAAAAAAAAAAAAAAGAACGAGTCACCCTTTTTCTGACATCGTTTCTGTCTCCTTTCTAAAGGAGGAAGATTCCCTGGGACATGGAACAATCCCTAATGCATCAACTGCCCAAAATGGGATCCAGATGTAGCAGAGAGTTCCCTTTAATAAAGAGCTTTCTGTGTGTGTTTTAAAAATCAAACATAGAAATTATTTGTCATTGATACCAGCAAATAGCTCAAATGGGAGAGCATGGATTTATAGTTCAGCTGGATTAGTTTAAAGATGATTAAAGTAATCCCCTTTATCTTATCAAAAAGAGCTTTTAGGTGGTCAGAGTAAAAGTCCTCAGACAGAATGTTCAGTCGCACTTGGAATTTCCCTTCCCTAAGAGATAAGCACATCTCAGAGATGGAAGACCTCAACCCGTCATCCATGGATCAAAACACTGTGCTGGGCTACCATGGAGAAAGCGCCTGTGACGTATCCTTGCTTGTGTGGATACCTGGTCCAGTTAGCCCCTTGGCCCAGTGTTCATTCTGAATGCCCATATTCACAGGATTGGTGGGAAATGGCTGGAGCCATGGGAGGTTGGATGGACATCTGGGAGTTGCCATTTACTAAGATGGGGAGTGCAGAGGGATTGCAGGGGGTGCTGGTGGGGAATATCAGGAGTTCGCTTCTGGCTGTGTTGAGTGGAGATGCTGAGCAGGTGGTAGGATATAAAAGAGATATCAAATTTGGAGAGAATGCAAATAGGAGGTACCCCATGGTAGGCACTAGGAAGCATGGAGCAGAGTCTAGTCAATAACCATGACTGGTGCTTCTGAGCAGGTTTCCTTGAGTCCTGACCATGTGTTGTTACTCTATGTCCCATGCCCCTACGAGGCTACCTGGAGTTTACCATCCTCCGCGGGGAAAGCGCCATTCAATTCAATAGTTTTATGTTAGGTTCCTGCTGTGTGCAATGACAGAACGACATAAGACAGCTTAGTATCAGTGTTAGGTCAGGCACAGTGGCTTATGCCTATAATCCCAGCACTTTGGGAGGCCAAGGCAGGAGGATCTCTTGAAGCCAAGAGTTCAAGACCAGCCTGGGCAATGTGGTGAGACCCTCATCTCTACTCAAAAGAGAAAAGTTAGCTGGGCATGGTGGTGTGTACCTGTAGTCTCAGCTACTTGGGAGACTGAGGTGGGAGGATCACTTGAGCCCAGGAGACAGGGCTGCAGTGAGCTATGATTGTGCCACTGTACTCCAGCCTGGGCAACAGAGTCAGACCCCATCTCAAACAAAAAACAAGAACCAGCGTTATGTTCCCTGCAAAACCCTTCAAAAGCTTCCCATTGCTCTTGGGATGGAGAACAACACCTATCCTTGGCTCCCAAGGCCCTTTTGTGCCCTCATTGTCTGCCTCTTCCAGTTTCTTCAACAGGTCATGCACTTTCCTGTTCCCTATTTCTGAAGTGTTCCCCCTCACTCCTGCCTGCCAGTTATCTTTCCCATCTCATCTCAAAAGTGACTTCCTCAAACAGGTCTTCCCTGAGTGGCCAACCTCCCCTAAGGCATGCTCAGAGAGATTCTTCTTCTGAGGCTTATCACAGCTTTAATTAAGTAAGTGATCATCTAATGAGTATTTTAGTTTGCATTTTTTTGCCAGAGGGAGGGTGGTATCTCTCTTGTACATTGCTGTTTCCTGGTACCTGCTCAATAACTCAACCACTAGTTCCATGAACCCAGGACCAGGTTGGATGGAAGAGGCTGTGGGGTGGTGGATTGAGAGAGGTCATTAGTGAGGGCTGGAGCCCTCTGCGAAGACATGTCTGTAAAGGACTTTGACTAGGTCCTCCATGAAGGGAGGATTTGGAAGGCAGAGAGGATGAGCATTTCAGTTGGGGAATCCATTTTTAACAGAGGTGGAAAGAGCCTTGGCTTGGAATCAGGGTGTCGGCCCATCTCCTGAGTGACAGGGGGCTAGTAATTTACCGTCTTTGGGCCTTCATCTCCCATCTGTAAAGTGAGAGGCTGGTTTACCAAAGACTGCAAATAATAGCACCATGACACTATCTCCCTATCTCATCCCCTGGCAGACATCTCTCTTGCCTGTGAGCCTGAATACAAGTTCAGAATTAGCTTTAACGCAATGTTCTAGGCAGCCATTCCCAATTGATAGGAAACGATAATTGAGATAAGCCCTATTTGTCAGGCTTGACTTGGATGAAGATCCCTTAGATGTTGTCAGGCCCCGGCACTGAGTCAGTGAACATATGACAGGACAGACCCTGGGGAAGAAAGCCCTATGGAAGTAGAGACCTCAGCAGCACCAAACGCCATCAACCGAAAGGACACAAAAATGGGCCGGGCACGTTGGCTCATGCCTGTAATCCCAGCACTTTGGGAGGCCAAGGCAGGCAGATCGCTTGAGGTCAGGAGTTTGAGGCCAGCCTGGCCAATATGGTGAAACCCCGTCTCTACTAAAAATACAAAAATTAGCTGGGCATGGTGGCAGGCGCCTGTAATCCCAGCCACTTGGGAGGCTGAGGCAGGAGGATCTCTTGAACCTGGGAGGCGGAGGTTGCAGTGAGCTGAGACCGTGCCACTGCCCTCCAGCCTAGGCAACAGAGCAAGACTCTGTTTCAAAACAAACAAACAAACAAACAAAAATCCCCAGCAGCAACAACAACAAAAACAAAAAGAAGGGACATGAAAATATTCCAGTCCAGAGTGACAAACTCAAATGCCTTAAGGGACCAGTGGATGTAGATCATGCAGATAAGAGAAGTGGTCCCAGCCGGTAGCATGAGAATGTTTGCCTTGCCTAAAAGGACCGCAAATCTCTCTCCTTTACATTCTTTTCTCTTTCCTCCTTCTTATTGTATGGGTTAGGCAAAACCAATACAATAAAATTTCAGCTGAAATTTTCTTCCAGACAGTTGGACTGTGACCTCAGAGTCCTTCCAGCTTTGTTGGAGAATAAAGATGTAGAGGAGAACGGTGTTGCCTAAGGCCACACAAGCCAGGCCTGTTGATTTCCAACTTATGGCTTCCTTTGGCAGTGTGGTCGTGAAGTTTGGAATACAGGAAGATAGGGGTGACAAAAGAGGGACAGGACGTAGAAAGAGGCTTAGGTTTTCAAAAGATGCTCATTTCATTTTGGATGACTATGGCAGGGAAGAGTGGTGGCCTGTCTACTGCTACTGTTACTCGTCACTCATGTGACTGCTTTTATGTATTCATTGGTTTAAATTCCCTGGATCTCCAGAAACATGTTACTTTCCACTGGGGGAAATTTGTGTCATGGTTAAACACACACACAGACACACACACACACACACACCCCTCCTCCTTTCTCAGTGTTAATCACCTTCTCCTATAATTAGCACTTAAAATGTCAAAGGAGAAGAAATTAATTAACAGGAGTATCCAGTGCAGCAAGGCTCTGGGACTGATTATAAAAAGCACTTCCTTAAATATTTTGAGTACTTTTGGGAATCAGAAGCCTCCCTTCTAATTGAAAGATCCTTAACTACACCCTAAGTCCTGGCTGGTGGCCAGGGGTGCAGGGCTGAGTGAGGCGGTGTGTGGAAATCCCTTCTTCACCATCCTTGGGAAAATTCCCTCCTAACTGGGATAGGTGGCAACAGAGGTTCGGAAACAGCAAGCGTCCCAGGCCGAATCTGCGGGGGAGGAAGAGATGAACCTTTCCTGAGCTGGTACTGCGTGCCAGAAACTTTAACTCAGTATTTTGCCACAATCCTGTAAGACAACCGATACTATGATCTCCATTTTACAGATGAGGACATTGAGGCACAGCGTGGTTGTGACTTCCCCGAGTCACGCAGCCACTGAATGAAAGCGCCAAAGATTCAAAGTGAGGTCTGATTCTAAAGCTTTGCTCTCTCACGGCATCCTGGAATCCTATTCCCAACCTTCATCTGGACTCTCAACCCAGCCCAAACCTAAGCGTCTACAGTTTTGACAGCTGAGGCAGGAGCACGGGAGGTGGAGCTGGTGACAGCGCAGCGCCCCGCCCCGCCCCGTCTCCGGCACCAGCCAATGGTGACGCGGCACCCACAGCCTTTCGCCCAATCAGCTTGAGCTTTCCGCCTCCATCCCCCGCTCTTCTCCGCCCCGCCCCTCCGCTTTCCCTTTGGTTCCACCGAGCTTGACAGAGCGGAAAGTCCCTTCGGCCGGCGCCGGGCCGGCAGCCATTGGAGGAAGGTCTGTCACAGGGAGGCCCAATCAGGGCCCGCTCAAGAGAGCAGCTCGGCCTGCGATTGGCCAGCGCGGCGTCTGCCCCCTCCGCCCCCGCTCCCTC